TTCAATTTTGGTGATTTATGCTCATGCAGATATTTTTCACAATAGATATTTACAATTTTCATTTTTTAAAACAATATTAACGAGTATTAAAATATTGGATTTGCTTCCACCCTGCATGATTAAAAAAAAAAAAAGTCTTTTTGAAAGTTTGCCTTTTCTGTTGATAGGTTTCTCTTTGTTATGATGCAATCAAAAGTAATGTTTATTCTATCACAGATCTGAAGTCTAACTATAAATCTGTATTTAAAGTTTCACTAATCAGAGGAAACACTAAATTTGTGTAGAATATTTGTGGAAAACATACTAGGTCTGCCCAGTGCAAAGTTTTCTGAATTCATTCATCATCCTAATGCGGCCACATGTTTTTGTTTGGTTTGTCTTCATGAATGGTTGATACTGGAGACATAACAGTCCACTGTGACTGAAAATGGAGAATTTACAACCTGATGAAGCCAAAGATAGAAAATTGTCAAGTTTGACTAAGAGGCTGAAGCTGGAAGAAAATGGCAAAACAGCAGAGAAGCAGTGCCAGTTGTTGTGGCTATGAGGATTAGCAGTGGGCTTGGCTTCTATGAGCTGGAAGTGTCCAAGGCAACAGGATGAAGTGGTCAAAGTGAGAGGCATGGCAAACTACTATATATATATATATATATATATATATATATATATCTCCAGATAAATCTGTGTTAAAGTGGAGTTACAGTTGAGTACTTATTAATAGTTCAGGGTAAAACATATTACAGGGATGTAGTAATTATTCCCAAACTCAGGGAATTCAGAGTTTAATATTAAACTTAAAGAAAGTCAAACAGTTCAGGTGCCCTAGTAACCCTAAATCTTCCCTGTAGCAAACATCAGGCAGTGACCATATGATAATTCAGGCATTTTAGCGTTTCTAGTTCCAGATTAAGTTAAACTAGATTTTACATGCAGTGTTGTTGCAGCTGTGTCATCCCATGATTAGCAAGCCAAGGTGGGGAGGTACTGTAATAATTTTGAGCTACACTGAGCTCTGTGTAGCTCAAAAGCTTCTCACCCCAACAGAAGTTGGTCCAATACAAGCTATTACTTCACCCTCCTTATCTCTCTAGATTTTTTATTTAGTCTCATGATATTTCTACTAGACAGAGTGACTGCTTCTACATAGCTGTGCTTGGGCTCATGGAAAAGAGTACAGGGAGCCTCTTCTCCAGCCCCCTCCCCAGGGGCGGCTCCAGGCACCAGCACAGCAAGCGCATGCCTGGGGCGACAAGCTGTGGGGGGTGGCCTGCCGGTTGCAGTTTCGGTGGCGGGGGGTACGCCGAAGCCACGGGACCGGCAGATCACCCACAGAAACGCCACCGAATCTGCGTGACCGTGGACTGCCCGCAGGCATGCCGCCGAAGGCCGCCTGACTGCCGTGCTTGGGGCGGCAAAAAAAACAGAGCCGCCCCTGCCCCTCCCCCGAGATCAAAGGGGATGCAATTGCTTGCTGGTTTTGAGACCATTTCTGGGAACTAGTACTTGTGAAGCAGGTGCATAATACATCTGAGATGCTTTTTGTGTTAAAAATGGTAAGACGCTAGGACAAGAGATGTATACAAGTAGAAGGTGGATCTGGTCTATTGACCGCTCAAAGGACTTTCACTATACTGTGCTCAGTAGAAAGTATCCTGAGAAATCCAGGTGTCAGAACATTAACCTACCTAGATAATAGTCAGAAAGCAATACAACTTGAGTTGGACTTTTCCCTCCCCTCTCAAATGTAGTTCTTATCTGCCTGTAAAGCCTGAGAGACACAGGACTCCATAAAGTCTAGTTCTGAAAGGTGCTCAAATATCTTCCCCCTCATTGGTGTATCCAAGAATAAAAAGGCCAAACATTTCTCTTTTTGGGAATCAAGAAAAAGCAAAATTTATACCAGATTCACAAGTAGCAGGAATATCTTCCCTGCCATGCAGCTTTCATCACACACACACACACACACACACACACACACACACACACACACGAGGAACAGACAGGTAAATCTTAGAGGTGATGCTCTGAATTAGTTATAAGACTCTTAGTGGATTAGTAGAAGTGAACTAACTTTACAATATTTGCTGAGTCAAAGTCTTGTCCTGCACTATTTCTGAAGAGCACAGCGGGCATTAGCCAGACTCACAATAAAAGCACTCCTCTTTGTAAGAGTCTGCACCAGTAGAAAATATTGCAGGAGGGTTCCACAAGTTGTTTCAGTGGATCCACAGTTCTGGGCCCCACTGAAGGCATCCTCATGCCACATGAGGAATATTGTGCTAAGATATTACAAACCAAGTGTCATACAGTGAGGTAAACAGAATTCTGATAGCATATATTCGTTAACTTTCCAGGGACATGAGAGCTAAGGGGCATCTGTTCTACCCCAACTCAACAAATAAGGCAGTCAGACAAATGTTGACTGCCTCCAACAAAATACTGTACTTCCTTTAAAAAAAAAATTTCTCCCACCCCAGCAATACCAAAGTACAAGTACCTCCATCACCACTGCACAATGCCAAACAATGCTTTTTGTTGGATAGTGTGTGTTAAATCTATTGCAAATATAGCTGACTGCCTCAAGACACTTGGGTAATTGCAATAAGAGGGAGGACAGCCAAATAACTTTGTTAAATGTGCACATAAAATCAGTGTCTTGTGTTGCATTAGTTTTTAATTTTAGAGTAGGACCACTCCAAACCATTTTGAGAGATCATCTAGGGTTGGTCGGGTATAATTCCCATTATGCCTCCACACCGGGTTTGTCTGTCCATGTGACAGTTAATACAGAAGAAATTACTTCTAGCTATAAAACAATTCCTATGTGCTTGTATTTTTAAGCATCATACACAGATACCACCTACAATACTCAAATTTATAAATACTGTAAATGCAATTGTTCAAGCCAGATGGCTATGGCCAAGTCTGGTTGGTTCCTTGGAGAGGAGCTTAGAATGTTTTTTCTATGAAGTTTATGGAACAGTCAACTTCTGTCCACAGGCCAAACAGAGTCTGTAGACAGCCAAAGTGTGATTTTCCCTAATACTGTCCAGTTAATGATCTCATACCTGACCTGAAATAGTCACCCTACTAGAGTGCAAGAAGTTTAATCTTCATGATTGCTTGGACCTGGTCCTTGTTCTCCTAAGTGGCGGTTATGTGCTATTATATGAGAACTACCATTAAGTTCAAGTTTTAAGATAAAATTAAAGAGTGAAGAATTAATTACTACAGCCGTCAAGACAGCTTGTGTAGGAAGAATTTCTGTCAAATGCTGCACTCTTAAACAGGTCCTGGATTAGCTATCTACTGAGAACATGACCTTTCATTAAAGGTCTCTGAAAAATTAAGGTAGCTAATCTGTACATTGTTATTTTCATGCCAATCCATTGCTATAGATAAAGATTTACTCATCTCCAAATGTATTTTGCAGCAGGGAACCTTGGCTTCTCTTTCTCATACCAATTTGGTAACCCTGTAAAAGTTCCCATCACTAAGAGCTATAACAGTAGACAGAGTCTAATTAGGGACGGAGAAACTGACCAAACGAGACCTTAGAACTCACATTTTCTTTCACTAGTGAATCTATAGTTAACTAAATAATCACCAACGATAAAAATAAAGTCAACACTGAGACCAATCTCAGCTACAGAGACCTGCATTGCCACTTTAGAAATTTATTATGCCATGTCTTTTGAAAGAGACACTGCACTAAATTTTGGGTCACTCCCCTGATCTACAATGCCCCCAGCAATATTGGTTATACACACACAAAAATGACATTAAGAGCACATTAAGGCCACAAAATCGGGCATTCAAAAGTTAGAAAGTGCCAGTATTACTGTTGCCTGGATTTAAGCTTAATTTGGCCCCCTTGTGCATATGCATTATGATCAGTCTAATTACATGATCATACTATTTTTCCCCATAGGACCCCTGTCTCATTGTGTGCACAGGATGGATGGTGCTTATTTAAAGGGTAGCTATTCAATATTTTGTTTTCTCCTCACTGTTCAGTATAGGGTTCCCTGCCTTATTTACTGCACACTATTCAAACCCTGCTCTAAGGACAGAATTTTAGTTTCCACACAGGCTTTACTATGGTGCTCATCACTGTAGTATCAGAATGCTTCACCAATAGTAATGATTTTTCACAACTCCCCTGCAAAATGAAGGGGTATTATCTCCATTTTACAGATGGGGAACTGAGGCACAGAAAAATTAAGGTCAAAAGTATGCACTAATTTTGGATGCCCAATTTGGAACACCTAGTACCTGATTTTCAGAGTACATAATATTATGTAGTACCTTATATGCTCAAAGCACAGCCTCTATTGACTTCAGCACAGAAGTGCTGAGCACTCATGGCTGCAAGTCAGACTGTAGGGTCTCAAGTTAGGAAAACACAATTAAATAAAAACTTCTCGTAAGTGGTTGCTAAGTGACTTGCCCACCATCACATAGGAACTCTACGGCAGAGGCAGAGCTAGGATCCCTTTCTTCAAGGCAGCATTCAACTGCTTTAAGCATCAGACCATCCTTCTCTTCCTGCAATCCCCTGCGTCATTCACTATACACCTTTCAACTTCTGTGAAGCAAAGGTCCTACAGATAGTGTCCTTTATTATTCTTCAGTGCTGGTCCATTCTGTGCACTGACTGAAAACTGGGTGGAAGGAGGGGGAGGGGGGGAGAGAAGAGAAGAGAATCAATGTATATGCACAAAAGGAGGCCAAATTAAGGTGGCACAGGAAACATTCATTCTGGCTTTTCCTAGTTTTTGAGTGTTTCCCTTCATAACTGTATTGCTCTTAACCTAATTTTTGTATGTAATGTCTTTGGTTTTAATAAAAGCAAACTGAAGAAGCCAGAAATTCCATCATGTCATACTTCAGAGTAGCAGCCGTGTTAGTCTGTATCCGCAAAAAGAACAGGAGTACTTGTGGCACCTTAGAGACTAACAAATTTATTAGAGCATAAGCTTTCGTGGGCTACAACCCACTTCATACTGACACTCACATAGGTCATTTGCAGGGGTGGATCTTTTAGATCCACTGCATAGACTTCTGCCATGTGAGCCAATGAAGTAAATGATACCAGGTTGTTATCGTCTGTGCGCTCTTGCACGACAGGGAGAGGAGACATTTGCCCATGGGTTTCACAGCTATTTCCTGACAGCAAAGGAATGGTGAGACTCAGATCTTGGAAATTCCAGGCTCTGGAGTGGAACATGCTCTAGTGGATAGAGTTCTCTGCCTGATTTCTACTTCCCACCAACCTTGACCCTGTATGTCTCATCCCTTCTAACTCGATCCCCACTCTCCTTGCCCAGCCATTCACAGTCTCTTCCTCCTCTCCCTTCCCCCCACAAGCTCCTTGCACCCAGTGGCCTTGCCCAGTCTGTTCCCTCTCTCCTCTTGTTCCTTGTACAATCTGTCTCTCCTCCCTGCGTCGCACTTCCAGGTTCCTACTCAGCCAGACCCAGTTATGATCCCCTGCCCCCATACCATAGCTCCTTATATCTGTCTCCACTTCCACCCTCACACCTCACTGGTTCCCAGTCTCCTTGGCCAGCAAGTCCCAGTTTCTCCTACTGCGTCATCTGATTTCAATCCACTGTCCTCCTCCCCACAAAACCTACTGACTCCCAGTCTCCTTCCCCTACCCCACCATCTTCATTTCCTTCCCTAATGCCCAGCCCAGTCCCTACTTTCCGTGCTCAGCCAATCCATCTCCCTCTTCTCCCACTCCAGTGTGGGCTCCCAATCTTATTCCTCTCCCCTTCCCAGCTCCTTGTTGCCATCTACTCTCACCCCACTCCTTCCAGTTTTTATTCTCTTTGCATTCTCATCAGGCAGCCACTTCTAGGCTTCTTGGGCTCCAGCAAGGGATCATACAGAGTGCAGGCTCCCTGCTCAGTTCCAGTGCCCAGCCCAGGCTGCAGCAGCTCAGAGCTTGAATTGCAAGTAAGTCCTGCTCAACCCCGAATCGGAGCATACCCAATGCAGACAAGATTTAAACTTTAGCTTCAGAGTGCTAACTACTCTTTACTGAAGATGTGTGAACTGCAGCTTTTCAAAGGCTCATAATTTAACAAAATTTGGGTGGATTTTTATTTGGGTGACCAGATGTCCCGATTTTATAGGGACAGTCCCGATTTTTGGGTCTTTTTCTTATATAGGCTCCTATTACCCCCCACCCCCTGTCCCGATTTTTCACATTTGCTGTCTGGTCACCCTAATTTTTACAGAAACAGAAGCCCATCCCTGACACAAGAGGCTAGGTGGACAGCTAGGGCTCCTCCCTGCCCAGCATGCTCCTGCCTCCAAGCCAGCAGAAGAGGGAGTTGGACTCACTGCAGACATGAGCCTCACTGCTGCTTTTTATTCTGTCTGCCAACAGGGGGGAGAAGCACATTTCTGGCAAGAGACGACAACTGAGATCCTTGTTCCCGAACTCAGCTGTTCAACAGCAATTCTGTCAGGAGCTGAGTGAGGAGAGATTGCCAAGTGCAGCAGGCACTGCATAAAAGCAGCACATGATTGGACCCTGCCCCCTCCAATCCTTCCCCACCTTTGCAGAGCAATGTTGTCCTTTAAAGTTTTGGGGGGGAATGACACGATGAATTTTAGGCCACTTGTGACATCTCCTGATCACTCTTCAAGCCCCCTGAAAGCTCCAACCCTCAGTTATAGAAACTGAGCTATGCAGCAATTGCTTTGCAGCTTTGATCTTTATAGTTCTAGAAAGAACACACATTTTATAGGAAGTGTTATCACTCAGTTGCTTCAGAGGAGTGTTCCAAACTTGATTTTTTTCTGAAGACAAAGTAGAAATATAGGAACACATCTTTTGAATAAAACAAGTCTTAATTACAAACCACTCCATCCCATTGTACCAAGAAACTCAGGACACCACATAGGTAAAAATATAACAGCAGCAACTAAAGCACATAAAAAAGCCACAAGTAAAATACTAAAAAAGTCCCCAAAAGGTATAATTTTTTAAAGGGTGGTGTTTAGTCAGTTTTTAGTACCATAATTTTTCTATATTCCAGAAGTTTTTAAAATGTTTATTTCTGGGGCTAGAACCTCAGAAAAGAGTCAGTATAATTACTGTAAGTATTAGAGGATACATTTTGCTATCCTTATCTATGATATTAAGTAATCCCTTACACCCTGAGTAGTTCTAATGAAACTAACAAGTGATTTACTGTGCAGAGCAAGGAAGTGGTGGTAAAAACTGGCTCTAAGAACTCATTAGGCCCAATTCATTTCTTTGTGTTAATTGTTTACAGATTACAAGGTGAGATACATATTGGGTCTTTGTGCATATGTTATGCCTGCAACAGTGCGTATGTGCAAATCCAACTTTGAAAGTCACATTAACTCAAAGCTCAGAGGACAGTTTGACTGAGATTAATGACAGTTTCAAGATGCACCTTCCAGCAGTAATTCACTTGCAGTTTCTCAGAAGAGTCTTCTCAAAGTCTTCATATTTAATAGTATAGTAATTTATGGACATAGTTTATGGGTCTTGTCATCTTATGAATCATTTTAAAAGACTGAGTTAATATTGAAGACTTCCTTAACTAATTATCTTAGACATTGTATTTGAATGTCAATTTCTCCTACTAAGTAGTTTAGGTCCTCCCCCCTCCATTGTTTTATTCCAACAGCAAAAAAATGCAAACAAATAAGGACATTCACCTTGTTGGTATTCATCTCTGCTTATGACATCAGTGTGTAGGATGTACAAATCCCAGGGATCCAAGTTAGTCACACTCACGATCTGTGTGGGCCTGTTTAAGTAACTAAGAAAGCAATAGAAAACAATTGGTCATACTGAGTTGCTTTATACAAAAGGGAAACAGTTTGAGTTGCAGAGATTATAATCAGTCCCTTGAGTAGTTTCAATCTATCAGTATGTGTCTGTGGGAGTCAATTGCTGGGGCCAATTCTTTCAAATATAACAAGAGATGGGGAGGAGATAAGGACCTTCTGTGGATGTAGCAAGAATTTTAGCAGATTATGGTCCACTAACCCAACTATGTCTGCATTAAACATTTCAGGCAAACTTCTTTTCATATATACGGATGCAAGAGAATTTAATAAATTCTGAGATTTGAATTCAAGAAGGAGAAAGTGATCAAACAGTTCCTTTATCTTCTTAGGGATGAATCCAATTGTAAGGTGAAGTTGAAGGTGCAGTGTGGAGCTATGCAAATACCTCCATTACGCCCCATCCCCATATGGTGACATGCAGGAAACTTCATCCCTCTTCTCTGTAAGGGCTTGGTAAATGCTCTGTGTAGGCTACATAGTCCCAAAATATTAGACACAAGCTGGGGGAGGTAATATCTTTTATTGGACCAACTTCTGTTGGTGAGAGAAGTTTATTGGACCAACAGAAGTTGGTCCACTAAAGATATTACCTCATCCACCTTGTGTCTCTATGTAGACTACTTCAGCCATTTGGTAAATCACCAAGAGGTTCCAAAATGGAACCCTCCACCATAGCCTCCATGGAGGCTCTCTCTGGATTTGGTTCTTAGTGAATGTAGGTATTTTTTGTGAAAGGTGCAGAAAACAGATGAGTAGAGAGAAATTTCCATCTACAAAACAGGTATTGCTCAGGTACTGTCAGTGCAAGATTACTCATCCTTCCCCACTAATGTACTTCAGATTATGCTGTTGGGTTTCAGAAGCATCTTTTATTAAAAATAGGGTACAGTATCCTGCAATAATCCCAGATATAAATAGCACCATTGTAAATTGCAGTGTTTGGGACCACTGCTACAGAATATTAAAGTACTTTTATAAGGGTCATCTAATGGGACCATTTTAAACAACGCAAAAATGTATGTTGGGTCTTTGGCCTCTCTATCGAGACTGCCAGCAATCCCGTTTATAACCATAAAGAAGTTATTGGCAACTGAAATATTTTTACTTTACATGTTCATTTCTTCAATATGTAAAGAAATTAAGAATAGTGAATAATGTACAATTGCAGACATGTGGGGGAAACAGTGGAGAGCAACTATCCACACTACAGCTAACTTTTATAAGCGCTATAAATCCAGGCTGTAACTCAAATTCAAATGGTGACACTGCTTTTTTTTAAGTCTTTGGATTACTTTTGTTTGAATTAAAATGACTCCACATTTGTAAACTCATAGCTAAGAATACTTATTTGCTGGTAAGTTTTATTTTGGTGCTAGTAGGTAGTTTCTAGACACCTGATAGTCTCTACCCCTCAGGCCTGCCTTATGTTGCAGATGAGTACTTGAAGGACATACAACTATTAGGAAGCAGGAATGCAGTATTCCCTTAACCAAATGTTAGTTTTTAAGACTGTTTTAGTACAATCATGCCTTGCAGAAATCAAACTGATCAGCTCAACTGCACTCGATCTTTACTAGATCATGAGCAGGAAACTAGACTATGAGACAATTTGGGTCTCTATGAAATCCCACAGGCTTCCACTGCTTTTCCAACAAAGAACCCTATCGGTCTCCCACAAGTTTTCAGTGAGCTGTTCCTGAGCCAGGTAGACATTCATCTAAAGCAAGTTTTCAACAAACTCATTCTGTTGTGAACAAATCCAGCAATTCACCCAGACTCCGAAGAATTAGGTTAATGAATTAATCACTTTCTCCTTCCAGATTTTTTTCTTATTTTCATTCAGTGTTATTTTCAATACTGTGCTAGCATTCTCCTCAACCTTGTTTAGTAGTTGGTGACCACAAGTTTAGGAGAGCAAACACCACACACGCACACAGTAAACCATGGCTTGAGAAGTCCAACAAGCTAAGGGACAAATAGACACTATCTCCCACCCAATAGCAGCCTGGAAGCTGGGGAAAGTGTAAAGTAGCAGAGGATCTTAACATTATAGCAGCCAGGAGGTTTTGGAATGGAAGAACAGTGATAAAGTGCTTCTTCTCCCTCCCAGCAGCCCAAACAGACTGAGGGAAGGCTAAGCCTTCAAATTTACTAGACGCCTACTAGCCAGAGCCCTCAAACTGGGCCCAGGAATACTTTAGTAGGAATCTCAGCAACTGAAGAAAGTCAGTCCTCTCCCTCCAGGGTTCTCTGTCCACTGCCATATCCTCTACCACACCACATGTTAACATGGCTTTATGA